CTGCAAGATGTGCTTTATACTCAGATATTTTTCTCTCTGAAATGGAAACATGTGTTTGGTTATATTTTTCTCCCTGAAAAATAAAAATGTGCATGATTTCTAGAAGGTAATTTTCTTCTTTGTTCTTTATAAAAGCACCTTCTCTGATATTCAGCTTCTTACACAACATGTAGTAGATTAAATACTAACCTGTTTTTTTTTCCTTATTTAGTTAGGGTTTTCTGATTCTCTATTATTTGGATCCTATAAGATCATTTAGCTTGCTTGTTTGTTTTTCTCAGGGGTTTAGAACTAGATCTGAGTATGCCTTGATGTAACTTTTCCTATTAACTCCACGTTAAATTTTAGAACAATTTCAGTCCACAGACTTCCATTTTTCTTCAACAAAGGAAATTCATTGTTCATATTTGTTTTTGGATAGCTTCATGTATTACATATATGTATTGTACATCTGTATGTATCCAAATATTTTCTTCTGAAGTATCCTTTATTTGGTTCACTGATCTCCAGAATCCACCCTTCAAATTTCTTCTTTCCTCTTCTTTCATATTTCTCTTAAATTTTTTTGCTTTATGTTCTGATGTATTTTTTGTATTTGATCACTATTAACAAATTTACTGATTATTCAGTGCTCACCATTTCTCTCTCTTTTTAAAAACTTTTTCTATCTCTCTTTTCAATTTATCAATTTAATTTCTTAACTGAAACATCATCTTTTTAAGGTTTAGTAAATCTTTCTCTGCAGTATCTGCAAAGCCTTAAACCTTTCTATTATTACTTGAGTCAAGTGTTCTGAGTCTCTGTTCCTTGTACAACCTTGATTGTGCCTCCTCTCTCTGGCTATTTAGTTCTTGGATGAGCAGTTACTTTTCCTTTCTTAGATCATCTTGTTTGGGTCAGGTTGTGGAGGACAGATCACCATAGCGGAAATCGTGTGAAAGATAAGAGGGTCTCTGGACCAGACTGCAGCACCAGCCCTATGGAGAGTAGTTCACTTCTTCTGAGTTTTCTTTGTCTTCTGAGAAGTGGAAACACTAAACCAGCTCTTAGAATGGACACACTTAGAGCAGCCCCTGAGTAAGTCTTGCCAGAGATGAGCTGACCTGTGTCCACAGCCTGCCCTATGCATGGCTCCTCAGAGCAGTACCTGCATCTGGAAGGTTTTCATGGTTCTTTCCCACAGTGTCAGTGCTGCCCTGTCATTCCTGGACCATTATGGCCACTATGTTCCCACATTGCTTGCCAGAGTGGCGGGCTGTTCCTTGGGATTGAGAGGAAGGTCTGCATTTGGTGTGCCCAACTTTGGGATGCTGTACTCTGGAATCCCAAGGAACCCCATGCCCTTAGGCTGTAGGCCTTTCTCACCTTTTGTCCAGCTGCACTCTGATCAAGGTCTAAACTCTGTGGGAGAAAGAGGCTATGCAAGCTTTCATGCCTGATGGCATTAACCAGAATGTCTGACAGTTGAAGGTCCCAGAAGTTCCTGTTTAATCATTTCAAGCACACTGTTGTGCAGGCTAAAAATGTACCCAGGCAAGCTGAGAGAAAACCAGTTTTGATCTGAAGCTAAGGGGAAACCAAGCATTTTATAATGATAGTTTTCTTTAAAGACAGAAAGAGCAGTAATAAAAACCTGCAGGATTCACCTGAAGGCAAAAGCAAAACAGACATCAAGTGTTTACTGTTTCATCTGTCTGGGTCTTGTCCTCTTTAGTCTGGAAAAAGAAAAGACGTAAGTCACATGAGCTCTCAGCCTGATTTCTAAGAGTTCATTTCGTGTCTTGTTCAATGACAAGTTGTTAGGGCTCAATGTTAATACTGTGCTAAGTTCAAACTTATAACAAGTTTCTGTTTGGTCATTTTTCTTCTGGGCACAAACATGGGATAATTTTCATTCTCCTTTGATGACACTGTGTTTATTTATTGGAGAAGGTTCTCTCCTTTCCAATGACTTTATTTAATTTGCAGCAAGCAGACAGTTCTTGAACTCCTACCTCTGTACAGTGATTTTAAGTTGATCGATTATTCTGAATTTTTTCATGTTACTTATTTTCTTGGAACACGATAGCTTATTGAGATCTTTTTAAATAGAGTATGGTGTTCAGAAGAAGAATGGCTATCCAGATGTGTTTTAGATACTAAACTGTGCAAACTGATATATTTTCTTCTTTTTCAAAACTAAATTTGTAGGCCTTGTGATTTAAAAAAATAACATACTTATTTTCTAAAAACTCAGAAATCTTCTTTCTAGTGTCTCACTTTTGGAACTTTGCTATTATCAACTTCCTGCTTTTGCCAATAATATTTTGACCTATAGGTTTAAACTATCTGTTGTTTACTGTCTCTCTGTACTATCTCTGATCCTGTTAGTGTGAGCAAATCACTTGAAACATGTCTAAACAAATAAATACAAATGCATGTAGTGGCAAATCAGATCCCTCCACTAGGATGAGTTTCTGTAGCACAATGTTTTAGACATTCCCTGTATAATTCTGAACGTTTCTTTGGTTTTGGGGTATCCTGGAGTGAACTAGAGGCCATTTTGGGAATCAAGTAATATGTATAGGATTACAGTCAGTCATACCAGAGTACTCAGAAAAATAACAAAAGTAAAATGGAAGCTCTATGCGGATGCTACATATAAACTTTCATGGGTTAGATGGATGCCGTTGGTACAAGTTATGTGGGATAATACTGGGGTACTTATGATTTAGTACTTTCATACAACACTTTGGAAGGATTAAGGCAGATAAAAGTGAATAAACAAAACATCACAGGAGAATTTGGTCCAAGATTATTTAACCTATTGTCCATGAGGATTTTCTTTTTCCTAGTAGATGACAAAATGCCTCCTTATGGAATATATATATATATATATATATATATATATATAATATACATGATGTCATATACATGATGGCAATTTATAAGCTTATTCAAAGTACATATAAGCAGTTTAGTAATTGGGAGTAATTATCAGTGAAGCAATTATTTAGGCTAGAGTAATGTTCTTTGAGTCAGGAGAGTGGTCATAAATCAATACCATAAGTAAGTACCAGGAAAAAGTAAGTACTCACTGACAATATGATAAAAGAAAAATAGGAGGAGTGGAAAGATATCAAGCAGAGATGTAGCTGTTGAAGTAACAATATCATCAAAATGTTGATTGATTTGATATGAGTTGAAGGAAAAAGAAAAAGAAGCATTCTGAGGCAAATGCTAATATATACCCATCAAAAATCAAGACTTGTACATGATGGATGAATAAATACATCAGTGTATCCCAAATGCTTAAGCCTTATTCATTAAACATTATGATTCCCTCATCCAAAATATATTAATGTGTATATTTAGGCAAAACTGCCTTCTCAGATTTAAATAACTTAAGTTATGTAACTATATCAATTTATTTTCTCACTTTCTGTTCATGAATTTTCAAACACTTTTGGGGTTCACCAAGAACCTCCATGGTGTTTACTCATCAATTTAAACCAGAAACGTTTTCATTTCTGATTTGAAATGTGTAACTAAATCTATTCCATTTTTTGTATTGCTTTATTGTCTAAAAAGATGATAACTTGCAATACCAAAAAAGAAAGGTCAAAGAATCTTATTCTACCAACTTATAACATAAAACAAGAAAACTTCAAGTTTTCATTGAGATTTATTATTCCACACAGCATACTTTACAAAATATAAAACATTTCACATTAATTACCCAGGACTTTTCCTTTCTTAATTATCTTAGTTACAACTTTTCAGAACCACAGATGACATGAGAGATCATTTGATGAAGAAGCATAACTGTTTCTTTTCAATTTAGAAAGTAAAACTTGCAAAGATTTAAAAGACTTGCCCTCAGTTGTTAGCAGAAGACTTGCGATATAGCTCAGTAGTACAGTGCTTGGCCATCATGCATGGAAGTGTAGGTTCTTTTCCTAGTGTGGGGAAAATTTAGCAGAGATAGAACTCAGATTCTCCACTTATTATCCTCCTCCTGTTTTTTATCCTTCCTTTTTATTACCCCACCATGTAATCTGAGAACTAGTTTTCCTTTCCTTTTATTTTCTATAACTTTAGCCTCTTTTACCTGTAGTTAATATGGAAAACCTTCTTTTTCGTGATGGCCTTCATTTTTAGAGTTTTGTGCTAATAAATTACAAATGCAGCAATACTGACATTTCACGATCAGTTCAAGCTAATTTACAATATCAACTAATCAATAAATCAAGTCTTGGTAAAATTTCATAGGGATTAAAGATGCAATTATACCATAGTTGAGTCCTTATTACAATCTGTTTCAGCAAGCCCTATAATTAGCCATTTTTGTGTCATAAGTCTAATAAGTCAAAATTCTGCTGATAAAATTGACTTTGCATAGAGCATATGACATTTCCTTGAATGTTAAGCAGAAGATGATTTGCTCCTGATTTTTTTTTCAAAAATGAAAATATTATTTTTAATACAGGTGGTACATTCCCTAAGACAAAATAAAGGATGTGCTGAGATACCATGCCGGTTGAGTAAATGAAATTCCTTCAAATAAAACAATTTCACAGAGTCAACAGATACATATTTTCTACTGGGATTTATGCAACCATCTGGTCTTATAATTTTCAGCTGCTTACTTCACATTACGTTTTCCCTTTAAAGCATCAAATAATTGTAAATACAGTATATTTTATGTACAAATGTAAACATATTTAGGTTTACCCATGGCTTTCAAATAAATTGTGCTTGTGTTTGTAAACTAATGAAATTTTAATTTCTTCCATAAGAAACTAATTTTATTGCCGTAATATTTAATGATGCTATGGCCGTTTCATGCTTAACTTATAAAATGCCTTCGAAGTATTACTAAAGAAGCAAGATTTCAGCAACTCCTATAAAGCTTTAATGAACCAATTAACTTGCAATGTGTTCTCAGGTTTGTCTTTGAAATTGGTTGCTATTTTAATAGAACACCATAACCACATCTCTTCTTTTTTTTGTCTTACTAGGTGATACAAAAAGCTTGTTGAAATCAAGGTGAGAACAAACCTCACAGCAGGAGAAAGAGTGCTAACCAGCCCTCAAATGAATGTTAAACAGGATGAATTCAAAAGGTGATACAGTCGATGAGACAATCTCTACTGATAACATCAATTTCATATAAGGTATAATTTATACATTTCTCTTAACATTCTGAGGAAGAGTTATCACTGAAATACAGAATTCTTCATTTATTTACAAAACATGATATTATAGGGGAAAAGTTTCAATGTCAAAAGTAGGTTATGCATAATCAAAGTTTCCTTAAATTGCTTAAGTTAGGAAAATGGTCTCTTACTTTTCCATCAGATCCATGCCTGTAGTACATGTAAAATAAAACTTGTAAATACTTATAACATTTAGAGTTGCTAATACTGTCCAAATATTGATAGTTAATGATATTTAGCCTCAAATACTCTTATGAGATGTAAATTATTTAGTAAAACATGGATATTTGCCCTCCAAATTACTAGGGAAATCCAATATGTGGAAGCTAAAATAAACATTATATGAAAGTACCATAAATAAAATTAGGAGAAACTATGAAAGCCCAGAGGTAGTTGATGTTTTAATGCATTCATAAAATTATTAACTGTGCTTCAAAGACCCTATGGCAAAAGCTTGATCAATAGCATGGTGCTACTGGGAAGTGGTAGAAACTTTAGTTGGTGTCCCACTGGAAGGTCTTTAGGCCACTGGGGAGTATGTGTCCTGGAAGAGGGTTATGGGGTCCCAATGTCTTCTTCCTTTCATTTTCTTATCATGAGGTGAGTGGATTTGGTTTGCCATGTTCTTCTGCCATGATTTTTACCTTGCCGCAGGCCAAAGTGATGGGACCAATTAATCTGGGACAGATATTTTTTATAGTGACAAAAATCTGACTAACTGAAAATTAGTACCAAGAAGTGGAATCATTGCTGTGACGTCCCTGATGATATGGAAAAGTCTTTGGAACTGGTCAACAAAAGGAATTAGAAAATATTTGGAAAAACAGCAGGAGTTTGGAATACTGTGAAAGCTCATAGCTCAGAAGAACAGAATGCTGATAGGAATGTAGATAGTAAAGGTTGTGCTGTTGATGCTTCAGATAGAACTGAAGATTCTTTTAAGAATTAAACTAGAAGTCACATTGTTCTTCCATGGCAAAGAGTCTGGACACTTTTATCCATATCCTGAGACTTTGTGTGAAGAGGTCATGGCTTGTTTAACTGGTGGAGAAAATCTTGAGACAATACAGCATTAAGGCTCTGGTATGGATATTACCAAATGCTTCAAGACAGATTTACATAGAGACCTAGTAGCAAGGATGAGTATAGCAGATATATTTGCAAAATATTTGTTGAGTGTGTCCTGTACTTTCATGTGTAGGACATATACATTTATGCAAACACACACACACGCAGACATACACATACATACCACTATTTTTCTTTGAAGTGAGTCATACGGATTTATCTTCATCCATGCTTGCTGTATGAATCTTGAAATACTTAGTTTACTTTTCTCTCATTGCTGCAACAAAATATCTGATGCCCAAATTAAAAAGGTAAAGATTTATTTAGCTTACATTTTGTGGAGGTGTCAGTCTATATCAGCTGGCTCCAAGGCAGAGTAGCATGGCACAGGGACAACAGCTCATGACAGTGGAAGAGAGAAAAAGGAACAAGAGCAAAAAAGGGAAAGAGCCAGCCTCTTTTCCTCCATAGGCTATCCACCCTAGGGCAGGTCCTTTATACCCGTCTCATCTCCATTCCCTCTTCTTGCACAGACTGAGGGTGTTTACCTACTGAGTGAGGACCCTCTGCCCCTGGTAAGTTGCTTAGTAAAACTTCTACATATCTCAGTTGACACAGTGAATCAACCATTGTAACATCCTAGAGCCTAAATAGCTATGCCATGTCCTCTATACCATAGGATACAAAATTGCTGAGTCATTTAGGGAAGCTTCTAAACTTCTTAAATTGACACACCACACTCTCTCTGCTCTGTTTCATGCCCCAAGTCATACGTAGACAGAAATTTGACCATGTGTTTGAGTCAGTCTATATTTAAGTCGTTTCCTTTTACTTTTAATACTAAATAATGCCAACATCATTTCCCAAGTAGCACTAGCCAGAAATGGGGGAATTTATCCTGTTACAGTTTTTTTTTTTCACTCTGTGCTTTAGTGTACAGCTAAGAGGTTGCAATTTCGAGTTAAACTGTATGAATTCAAATCTCTTTTGTTAAAAATCCATAAAACTTTGAACAAAGTATTATAATTTCTTTGTTTTCTTAAGCAGAGGTAAAAATGGCAATCATATTCAGGTAGATAATGTGTACAAAGACCAAGAACATAACTTAAGAACCCGCATATGCATGAACACATAGAAAAATACATTTCATGTATATGCATATTTATTTAAGATATGTATACATAGGTATAAAACCAACACATCTACCAAATTAACATGCTAGTCACAAATTGTTCCCTTAGGATCCAGACATTTAGCAATCAAGGATGTTCTACTTATTTTTGGAAGTAAGTAGGAATAAACAAACACCAAGCAGATTTTTTAAAAAAGACCTGTAAAACAGAACAACTGATCTGTCATGTTTAAAGAGAGATACATGGTCATCTTTTTGCCCTGGGCTTTTTCTGTGCACATGTAGCTGCCTATTAGCCTGTGATTTCATACACTACTTTCTGCTCTTGGGTTTTATGTATGTGACCTTGTGCATTCTTTGGATGCTTTGAAATAAATACATTCTAAATCTCATTTTTCCAAAAAGAAATAAATAAATAAGAGACAATAGATGATCAGATGATCTGCAGTTTCTTTTGTTGCTTTTTTCCTTTTTTGTGAAGATTGGAGGGTAACATATTTAGTTTACCAAGAAATGCTCAATTAAGTTATAGTGAGCACCGTAAATTCTTCAGAATGAAAACCATGCTTTATTAATTTTTTATTTTCTCAGTGATTTCTTATCCAATATCTTAATAAAGTCTTCATATTTATTAACAAAGAAATGTACTACTTCAAAGTAAAAACAAAAAAAGGTCTCATTACATGAGTAACATTTACTTTTTTACTAATATTATGTAAACATATCAATTTACTCTTTTCTTGTCATTCAGGTCTGCAAATAAGTATGGACTGTGATTAATAATACGGTATTCAGTTGAGGTAATAGTGTAACAGTAGGGAAATAGGCACCTTGGGAATCCCTTAGTATAAGGCGTGGTTACATCGAGACTGTGTCTTCCACATTGGTACGAGTAACAAGAGAAGCATCCTATGATATGCCTGTGCTACCAGGTCACTGGTAAGCCACCTAGACATGGTATGTGTTTGCTGCCACCCTCCCAACTCTGTTGCTGAATATTCTTTGGAATTTCACATCTTTCATGTCACTTGTTGATTGTCTAGAATCCTTCACCAAGACTTGTTTTGTTAAAATCCTTTAGATTTTGAAATTATCTAGTCTTTTTGTCAAAATTATATTTCCATAAGTCTCTATTCAATGATTGCAATTGACAATGATTGAGTAAACTTTGGTTCTTTGATTTGTCTTCAGTGAACTGTTTTTGGATTCTATAAAACAAGTTTATTTTACTGAAAATAGAGACAGAGCAAAAGATAGAAGTAGAAATCAAACAATGAAAACTAATAGCAACCATTACTGATATTTTATTTATATCGGTTATTATTTTTGAGATATTTTATTTTGTGCCCAAATTGTATAACACACAAAATATTATTTTTAATCTAATTTTTGTACCATTTGAAATTCATTGTGCTATTCAAAATTCCATCCTAAATGTCATGTTCATCTTTGCTTAATAATGTACCATAGGGCATATTCCTCTTGAATGTAATTTACATATGATAAGGCAAAGATTTGTTTTTTTACTTCTTCATTAGGAATAATTTGCCAGTATTACAACACAAATGGTTGTACTGTCTCTCTGCTAATTTATGCTGTCCAGTATATCTTCAAGTTGACTGCATAGATTGTAGAACCTTTGAAATTATTATCAGATCCCACTGGGTGTATTTTTTTCCACTAACTTGAAAGTGTTAGTATCTGTTTGTGGTACGTAACTATTACATTCATATTGGAGAACTGGTGCACGTACGTACTGCATCTTGATCACTTTTACTCCCTCTCCCTGCTTTCATCCCTCTGTGGAAAAGGAAGCATAAAAAATTTTGTGTTGCAATTTTACCATCAGGGAAGTTAGATTCCTATAACATTATTTGCCAAAGTGCCTTAGTTTTTAGTATGTTTTCCATAAAATAGTAGAGAACATTTCATTTTAACAGTTTCATATTTGCACAAAAAATGCTCATGACTTTTACTGGAGTAAAAATCACCTGATATAGAATTTACCTTCTCTCCATTCTGAAATGCATGGTACAACAATGTAAAGTATGTGAACACTGTAGTTTACTAGAGAGCATTTAAGAAACAAATCCTTGGTAGTAGGTGTGATTGAGACAGTTTGAGGGGCCCCCAAATGTCCCAACATCCCACCCACACAGCTTCTGCTTCTTTCTTCATCATGTCAAGTAAATAAAAGGCACCGTGTGATTCATGCCTTTGCTGACATTCTGCACCACTCGCTCTGTGGCTCCTTGACTGTGTGTGGGGATGGTCTCATATCCTGTGTTCTGCTGGGAAAACAGATTCGGACACGTGCAAAACCATGCTTCTGAGGCTGTGGGCATTCAGTGACACTGACCTGACCAAAGGACTCCCTTGCCATGGCTCTTCTCTCTCTGATGTTTATGTGTGTGCACCTCTTTTCCCATTATAAGAATACCATAGACAGGAAGGTGACAAGTCTTCTCAAATGATGTTACTGTGAATATTTTTCCCCCTATAGACTGTAGGAATAGAGGACAAACCAAAACATCCACACCAGAATCTCAAAACAGACATTCTGCTTGATACAACTATCTCATCAAGAAAGACACGGACTTAAATGATTCAATTAGTGGGTATGTATGGAAATATTTCTTAGGCTATTTAATATTAATTTATTTTAAATACTTAATTTGAACCTCTAAAATAAATGTCACATTGTTTTATTTATGTCTAAGCTAAATTACATTCAAAGGGGCAAGCACAGATGAAATCCATTTTATCTTTTGGTTCCATTTTATTCTGACACAATATAACCTGGTCCTAATTAGCAACAAGTTTTTCTCAATAAAGTGAAAATTGCACAACACAGACATTTTTGACGACATACATCATACTACAGGCATGAGTACTTTTCAAATTAATTTTGAAAATCTGAGACAGCATATTATTTGTGAGAAAAGTGAAACTGATTTAAGTCAATTTTAATTCATGAGTACTGTATTGGAAGGAAGACATAATTTAGAATCTATATAGAAATCTTCATTCTTAAAAGGCTGAGAAATGTCAATCTTATTCCTTTGAAATCTCTTAGAACTTCTTTTGTGGAAGTTACACACTAGCTTTATGTTGTATATAGTTATTTCATTACAAATTTTCTCCTTACCATTGATTTGGAAGAGTCTGAAAACAGAACTGATACTCCTGCCATCTGAACTGATACAAGTAGTTCCTTTTAAGTTAGTAAATTTCATTATGTATCTGTATTTGTGTATTTAAATTATCAAATGCAACACTGTAATTCACATGGAACCCATGGACAAGGGGGTTCTTTCAAGGTTGTGTGTGTGCAATCTGTCTCTCATGGCCATCTCCAAGGTGATACAGTTCAGTAAACTCAGAATGCACTTTTGGGTTTCATTTCCTCAACTGCAGCTGTGAATTTGCAAATGGTGTAAAATGAATAAAATGTAGACCCTGTCTTTTGAGATGCAGCATCTAGAAGTAGACTTAGTGCCGTGGTGATAGTGAAAGGGAAGGCTCTAGACTCAGGCATGCTTGGGTTCAAATGTTTTTCCACTTCTTCATAACATATTAACCACATCAAATTTGTATATTTCTCTTGTCTTAGCTTAAACTGGGCACAAAATATTTAACTTACCAGATTATTGTATTAGTTTGAGAATATATATGCAAAGTAACTAGTAATAACACAGTAACCAGCATTTTATGGGCATTCCACGAAACACAGAATAACAGCAAATTCTGTTATAGTGCTCTTTATATGCGATCCCTTCTTTTTTTGAAATGCAGTATAGGGGATGAACCTAGGGCCATTGCACTGGGCTTCATCCCCAGTCATTTTTATTTTGAGAGAGAATCTTGCTAAGTTGCTAAGTTGCCCAGGCTGGGGTCCAATTTGCTATCCTCCTGCCTCAGCTTCCCTAAGTACATGAATTCTAGGTGTGTGCCACAACGCCTAGCTAACCATTCTTTTAAACACAGCAATCTTAACTCCTTTCACCAAGTGCACACGTAAACCTGATGTGAGATACAGTGAGATGGAGCCTGTGCAGAGCAAGTGATGGGTGATTCTGCTGGGAGCCCCAAGACAGGCATACCGTAGAAGTTGTCCTGAAGCTTAAGCTACGATTTTCCTAAACCCGAGGGAGTCCAGGTCTGAAAGAACAATGTGAAGACGGTCAGGGAGTAAAGGAAAGGCAGACACAAGAGGAGAGAGGCAAGGCCATGTGACTCTGAATTCTTAAACCTTTACAGATAAAGAATTTTCTGGAAGAGGAGGCAGAAAATTCTGAAAAGTTGAGGCAAAGAGTGTTAAGCCTTTTAAATTCCAGGTTAGAGGAACCAAATATATTCCATGTAGTCCTGGAGCTTCTTGTAAGGTCTTAGGATGCCGACCAAGAGATCCCCTATTAGAACTGTCTTTAAGAAATTTATCTGTTGGGAAAAATTCACTTGGTTCTTTAATTTAACAGTTCATTTGCTTTTTATTTGGTACTTATGGGTGGTATGTTTCATTAGTGTGAGATTTAAAAATGGGTGTTGGACCTACGTATTCTTGGGGCTTTTCTTTGTTAATTAGATGTTACCAAAGATCTAGATCTTATGGTGGCATCCATATAACATGACAAGAATCAGGACACATATCACTTGACTTTGGTGCAGCTCTTACAGTCAAGATTTGTTTTTCTTGTTTTTTTTTTTAATTTGTAGGCTTTTTATTAGACTGTGTTTATAGTACAAACTGATAACATTCATTGTGGAGATGGTACATGTACATAACCCACTTACTTCTTTTTATTTCTTTTCTTCTCTCTCTCCACACTCTCCATCTCTTGGTCCTGTGCCCATTTAGGAAAGATCTATTTTAATTGTTTTGGGATGAAGTTTATTTCTGATTATCATCTAAACTTATGAGACTCTGTGTGGTCTCACTGAAGATCTGTTTACATATCACCTCAGTACTCGGCTGAAACGTTGTCTGTTTTGATTTTATCCTTCTACCAATCTCTTCACACTTTTAATGAAACAGAAAGCTTACAACTGTGAGTTCAATTTATCATTTAATCAGATTGTGACAAAAAGATTTTGAGTGTTGTTTTTTCTCGTAACTGTATACACTTTAAGAATCCTTTGTGGATCACTGCATTGTGCTCATGTACCATGCTTGTTTAAACCAGGGGTCCTCAAATCTGCTCAGTCAATTTGCTGACATCCTTTAGGGTGAACCTCACTTTTCATTTCCTCTGAATGATATCCTCTTTGCATTTATCCTGTCCTCCATCCGCACTTTCTTTATTCCAACTTTGTCCCAAACTAAGCTTTCCTTTCACTAAACGTGAATTGTAATCAATTTGATAAATCTTACTTTCTTCTCTTACAAACTATGCTGAATTTCATGTTTTCAATTTAAAAATGAACTGTAGCAATACCCATAACACCCCTTTTCTTTTTTATAATAACCTTCGTAACTTGGTCTCTGTCTCCACAATGTCTAAAACACAGATGTGATGACTTAAAATGACCCCTGCTGCCCATGGATAGAAAGCAAATCTTTCAATGGTTAAGATCAAGGACACTTTTCTCTTTGTAAATTCTATAATGGATCCCAGCTGAGCAGCTTAACAACCACACCCTGTGGGCCTGTTAAACCTTCTAAACTACAGTGTTCCCATCTAAGCTGCTAGGCCAAGTGTCTTCCAGCACTGCTGGGCAGGTGGAGTGACAGGACCAGCCTTCAGCACAGGGTCTCCTGCCCTGCACACAGGGTCTCCTGCGTGGTAAACACACAGAACCCAGGTGGTTAAAGAATGGAACCCTCTATGTTGCTTCCCTAGCTCATCCTTTTCCCCTTCTCCACACAAAAGTTGCCACCTTCTTATTTGTTTTTTGATACATGAAAAATTTGACACTATCAGTTATGTTATTCTTCATACTATGTAATTTTCAGTGTTTTTCTGTCGAGAATCTTAAGACTCACAAATTAATCTTTAAAAGCGTCACTTTCCTTATCAACTTAGATTAATTTTGTCTTGTTTATTTTTATACTTAATATTTTTCTTCTAAAATAATGTGCAACTTTACATTATGAAAAACTATTAAAAAGAATAAATTTAAGATATGAATTGATTATTATGCTAAAAGTTCTTTCTTACGAGTATAGGAGCTCTATCTCCTTTTTCATTGATGGTAAAAGTGACTTTTTATGTATGACTGCAGGTTACACATTTTATAAAATATCATATAGTTCTCTCAGTGATACAAATTGTTTTAATATCACTGATTATTTTATTATAGTAACACTTGAGATCTTTCATTCTAACAAATATTTCAGTGTATAATTCAGCATTGCTTAAACATTCATTGGCAGTGTTTGAATTATTTCTGTTATTGTGCATAATGGTGCACATATTTCTTTAAAATTCTGATTATAATTTTAAGGGTAAATATCCAGAACGAAGATTGCTAGAATATACAACTTTGCTAGTTTTAATATTTGAGGAATGTCTGGACTTTTTTCCATTGTGGCAGTACCATTCTACATTCCTGGCAATAGTATATGACCCCACCAACCTCTATCATTTTTTTTTAAAATAATAGCACCACAACAGGTATGAGTTAAAGGTCATTCTGTGCAGTGAAATGTGCCAGTCACAGAACAAATAACACTACATGATTTTGCTTATAAATTGAGCAAAGAACAGTGGTTTCCAGGAGCTTGAGGGAAGAACACATATGGGAATGGTTACTAAAAGATCATAAAATCTCATTTATGCAAAATGAGTAACTTCTAGGGATCTGCTGTGCAGCATAGGACTTATTGTTGACAGTACGGTGTTTACTCTAAAAATATGCTAAAAAGCTAGATTTTAGCATCATTTCATCACAGAAATAAAAAATGAATCTAAAAGGCACTCAGAGCAAAAATCCTAATGAAGTTTCTAGAGGTGATGGATGTGTTTAGTGCTCTAATTGTGGTTTCACACACACACACACACACACACACACACACACACACACACACACAATATCTCCAATATCATTCAAATGTATAAGTTCAATGTGCACAGTTTTAAATATCAGTATCTCCAATAAAATGTCAAAATGTACGGCTACCCACTTGGGACCTCTTCTATCTTTCTCTCAGACAGAAGCTTTCTTTCCCTCAGTAAATCTGTAGACTCTGGACTGGGACTCAGTCCTCCATAAAAGTCCCTAAAAAGACAGAGTCTTTGGCAACCCACTTGAGATTCTTTCTTCCTTTCTCTCAGACGGAAGCTTTCTTTCTCTCAATAAATATATTCTGCTCTTTAAAAATGTCAGAATGTAGTATTATTGACAATAGATATTTATTTGTTTTTGTATTGCATCTGGTGTATTTTCTGCTTATCAGTCTTTTCGCTTAAGATGTGAGGATGCTGATGGGGGCACCTCATTCCTAGGATCTCACTGTCTTAGCGTGATGCCGGATGCCTAGCAGCTGCCCAGCATGTACTTGATTAAAGGTGAATACTGTGCATCTCACATATCAGTGTCGTCTTTGCTCCCATGTTGATTTCAACTCTTTATTATATCTTCATGGGCTCACCTAGGTTTCTACGAGGGTAAATTTCCT